TGTGTTAGTTGTTAGTCTTAGTTTTCATCTTAATATTAAAGTTAAGGGAGGGTCTAGGATCTCTTAAGTTAAGAGAAAAGTTACGAGAATTTTTAATTCTCTTAACTTTACGAAGTTTCTGTCAATGCTCTAAGAGAAAAAGTTAATGTTAAGGTTAATGTTAAGACTAATTTGTTTCTGACAACGGGCCCCAGGCCCTTACAAGTTGGAACAGATTAGGGGTGCACCGGATCCAACTTTTTAAGTTCCGGCCGGAACCAGAACCAGCCGGAACTTGAAAAAAGTTCCGGCCGGAACCGGAACTTAAGCTGGGAATAAACTTGACAGTTTTAATTGGCCCAGTATTGCGCAAACTCACTCGGCCTGAACGAAATATTATTAGCAGGCACATCCCTCGGGCGAGTAGGACAATGCTCATTGTTCTACATGTTCTCATTATGTCTCATGTTCTCATGTCTCATGTTCTTATTATATACATGTTCACATTCTACATTGTTCTCATTGTTCTCACTTAATCCAACAGATCATTAATTTTCCATCATTAAGAACAGATCCTTAATTTTGTTCAATTTATTCAATTATTAATCAAAGTATTAGCTTTGTGTTTATTAGGCATACTCGTAGTATTTCAAGATTTAATTGCTATCAGTGGAGTTCTACTTGTTTGACAGGAATTGCTGGAACATGATTTACTTCTTAGTATTCGCTAAGTAAAACCTAGTCAGGAAATTGGTAAATATTGTTGATATAAAGGCAAGATAGGCAAAATTTTGACTAGGCCAAGTGGACTGATTATATGAGGGGTTGAACCGGCGGTTTAGAGGGTTGAACCGGTGGCCGCCGGCAATATAGCGCTAATTTTGCACACTGCTATACCATACAGGGTATAGTGGGTTACCTTCACAGGGGTGTGGTTGGGTTAGCTTTCAGGAGTTCAGGGAATCTAGCTGTTGTCATGTTAACAAAGTGGTAACATCTAGTGAATACTTTGCGGAACCCAGTAACTGAAACGTCAATCCAATGTTTCCTTAAAAATTGACATCGCACAACGAGAGAAGAAACCAAAAACCGCAAACGAGAGATGAAGTGGTCACGTCTAACTTTCCATTTCATTTACACCATTAGATGTTATTATCTGTTATATGTTATTACGTATTATCTTTGTCTTTGTTCTTTGCACATATGATACGGAGTGGTTTAACCAGTTGTTAGCTCATCTGACGTAGTCAGATGCAGCTTGTAGAATCGCATGATTGTCCGTCCGTGCGTCCGTGCGTCCGTCAACAGTTGGGCACAAAAAAGTTAAGTCTAATAAGTTATATCAGCTACTAGAATTTAAGTTCTAACTATCGCTGAAATGGTCTGCTTGCGGTATTTCTTGTGAACGAACATTATTTACGAAACTTCTTCAGCGCCAGTCAGCGGGTTGGTCCCTAGCATTCGTAATAGAATGTTGTATAGCCCTGTGGCAACTGTACGCGGGCTATAGTACTAGAGCTAGGGAATAACGGAATTAATAGGGGAAGGTTAAGGAGAGTTAACAATGTTTTAACGTTTGCATGTGGATCGTAGTTTCGTTTTGATCACGTGAATTATAATTTTTTAAAGAAACGTAATTTAAAGTGGATCACATCTGCTAGCAGAAATTCTAATTGTTGGCGGAATCTTTTAACATCCCAAGTAGGAGCATTGTATGAACAAGTATTAAAATGAATGCGATGGGGGGGGATTAGGAGAAAATGTAGTTTTAATGTTTGCATGTGCATCACCATTCTCATTTTTACGTGTGGTCATTACAGTTATATGCAGCTATTAGTGTTAGAGAAGTATACCGTAGTTGATTGCATCCATCTGTTAGTTGAATACTCCATCACTCCATCACTCCTTCACTCTTTCATTTTGCCACTTCCTTTCTCCCTCGCTCCGTTGATTCCTCAATGTGTTGTTATATAAGCTTCATATTTTGGAGTAATTCACAGTTAGTCTAAACCTAATACCTAAGTCCTAATTTTTTTTACCCTTTTTGTTCTACTGACAGGTTTGATATGAGGACAAAACACTTGGTGGTCAATGACAGTAATAATTAAACACGTTATCGGTACTTATGAACGTGCTATTCGAGGGCACGTGCAGGCACGTTACCAGGCGGAGGCCCCGGAAGCTCAGGCTTCAACATCATTTCCGGATTTTTGTTTTAAATTGTGAAATCAAACAGTTGCAATGTAAAACTCGCTAGCGTACGCGATTTTCCATGTAACATTTAAAAAAAATTCGGGCGACCCCCCCCCCAGACCCCCACCAGGGTGAGGGGGAACCCCCTCAGGAACCCCCTCACACACTCTCCCCCTTTATGTTTATGGTGCTTCACACCTTCGTGACTGCGCTTCAACATTAGTGAATCTCTGGCGACCGCCCTGACGTGTGTGATGTTCCATTGATGTTTCTGCATTGCGGCCATGCAGTAATCATATTCATTGGCGAGTGCTTCTTACTCCGCAGTACCACCTCGCAGGCGATCGAAGTCGGGAGGAAGATGAATGCAAAGTTCATCATGCTGAATCACTTCAGTCAGCGATACTCCAAGGTGCCACTGTTCAGCGACGATTTCACCAGCAACGTTGGTGTGTCGTTCGACAACATGAGGGTACGCTTGCCAAGTTAGCGTAGCAGCATAAACCTATGTCCCCTGAGCGTGTTGAAAGATAATTGCAATAATAATAGATAACATAAAGATAGATAACAATAGATTCGTGTACATACCTTTATGAAATTGTTGGAAAAACAATTCTACCTTGCAGCACTTTAACCAATGCTTTATGATTGTGGATTCTGCTGATTTAAAAACAGTAATTATTAATGCCTTTGTTCCCACAATATGGCTGCTCTCTGTGACACAATATGGCTGCTCTCTGTCCCATCCTGATTCCAACCTTGAAGTGATTGCGTGACGTTCCATTCACGTGACAGCGCAAAACCCAACAAAACCCTTTACCCCGCAGTCATGTTATCTTTACAGTGGATATAACATAGCGTTTACAACACCTCAGTGTGACTATATAGCACTGGAATATTTTTTACAGAAGATAGAGAGATTAAGCGAGTTAACAGACCGGTTAATTAAGCTTCCTGACAATAAGTCATAGGATTTTTAACATGGGTCCCCGCACCCGCTATGTATGCACTATCTGCACATATGTGACCGGTTATAGCCAAATGAGTCACTTGAAGCAATTTTTCAATTTCCAGATAACCATATGCTGATGTTCTGCTGTCTTTTATCTTCATATTATCCAAGAATTTTGAGAATCGGATAAAAAATTAAAAAGTTATGGATATTTGAAGTTATTTAAGAAATCATTTGGCTATAATGGGTCACGTATGCCAGCCGTGTCGATGAACTCTCGCCATCGTTGTTGTCACTGCCTTACAGGTGCGACCACGCGATCTGCCGCTGCTGCCTCTGTTTCCGAACCCGTTACGGGCGATGTTCGCCGATCACTACGAAGAGATGGAGGGAAAGCGCACGAAGAGGCAGGTGCGGAAGCAGCTGGAGATGGAGGAGAAGAAGCTGAAGCAGCGGTGATGATGGCGTCTCCATGGAAACGGTCTGCATGCTGCTGGTGGAACGGCATGCAGCAGATTGGGGGTGTGCAATGGTGGGATCGGATGATGTTGTTACTTACAGATGGCTGATGATGCTAGTTGGTACTAGCTAGAGGAGTAGCAGAGTAGTGGCTGAGGTAGAAGCAATGGTAGCCGCATGACGGGCACTGTTGATAGCGGTGTGCCAGGGGCGTGTACAGGGTTTGTAGCAGGGGGGGTCTAACCGTAACCCAAACTTGGGAGGACGCAAAGGGGGGGTCTGGACCCCCGGGCACTCCCCAGAAATTTTTGAAATTAACCGCCGCTGGCAGATGCGCGTTTCTGTCTGCGCGAGCAGGGGGGGGGTCCGGACCCCCTGACCCCGCGCCCCCCCGTATCACGTGCCCCTGTGTGCAGAATAGACCTGTAGCTTGTAACACGTGTACAGTCAATTGAAAAGATGTAGATATGTGTGATTGTGTGTGCGTGCACAGTACGCGAGAATTCAAGTATACTACTTGTACATATATCCACTGTTAACATGCGAACTGAAAGGAAATATATTAATAGCAAGATTTCAGTCCAGTTTTTATTTATTTTGGTAATTAAATTCACGTAAGTTAAAATTGTGCTCATAGTACAGCATATAGTTTAGTTAATAATATCATCATTAGCAATTTCCTAATGTACAGGCATTGTGCATACATTTCAAACAATATTTACTCGTTGATCGTAAAAATGCGTTAACACAGTAACAACTACATGCGTTTCATAAACTTCTTCTTCTAATCACTAGTTCCACGCAAACAAGATCAAACGTAATAATAAGCGGGAGAAAACTGCGAGGTGTGTCGTCCACCTGCACTTAGTGAAGATACGAGTACCGGTCGTCAAGAATGCGGATAGTGGTCCGGGCCGAGCTTCGGTGCAGAGTCGACATTTGCGAACCGTGCGTCAAGCTACTTCAGCAGCTGCCTGCTCCTTTCACTCTCAGAAGAGCGTAAGAGCAATGAAATTATTTTCTCGTAGCAGAGGAACATCAAACGCATGACGTGAGGAACTGTTGAAAAGAGGCTTGGCGTCCAGAGCCTGTACATTCCGACCAGACCATGCCCCTTACTCTTCGAGTGTAAAGAATGAGCGAACTATTCAGATAACAGTGGATTGCACAGAGGACGCGACCGCGCATTACGTATTCATAAACATCTGTGCACGTTGCGTTATTGCATTGGTTTTCTGTTGTATACGACTGTTGGTCATTTTCTTACATACTCATGAACATTCTTCATGTACATGTATATTGGTCAGATGGGGACAAATACTAATAGAAAAGATGTACGGTTAAGTGAAATCAGATGCCATGCTACGTTATATTCAAAATAGATAGCAGCTATGGATAGGACGATTACCAAGCCATCAAATGAATTCTGGTGTTACGTTGCAGACTGGATTTTTAAATTAAGACCAAGTATTCATTATCCTGGGATGTGTATACAAGTGGTTCCAG